ATAAACACCATAGTCCTTGTAGCCCCTTTAGGTGCTTCTTTGTTGAGTAATGCCGATTTCATGAGGATAGCATTCCAGTCCATGGACGTAATACGGAGGTCCCATCTGCATTGACTGTGCTTCTAATGGTGCCATTCGGAGAGCTACTTGTCAAAGTGAAGCCTTATTATACTACGAATACATAGGTTCCTATGACCTTTATATAACGCCATACATGGTGACACTGAAGCGATCACTGATTAACAAAGTCGCCCATGGGTGTGGAGACAAACGAACACTCACTAACGTCGTGTCAACGCCACATTTGGAATCCTCTTAGTTTGTGTTTAGTCATAAACTGTGATAGAAGTAAGCAATCATAGAAACATAAGACCTCTATCGATATCTGCTGTCTATCGGAAATCTAGCTGCAAGACTCGGTTTCTGCGCTTACTCTGCGACCCATTTTATTTGACACTAGCAGCGCTTTTTTATTGCATCTATCCGGAGGCAGCGTAGCTTCGAGTGTAGCCCAAACCATTGTTTTTATTGCTCTGACTTCCCGGGCTGAAGTTGCTCTCTTTGGTTGGATCTCAATCAGTATCCGGATGGGTGCTGTCCTGCTTGGTGGCTCGTTCAAAGCTCGTAGTCGCGCGGGACTAATAGGTGTCTTTCTGTCGTCGCTGCCTACGCGCCACAAACCTTAGCGATGATTCGGTGCAAGACGACTTCTGTCGTCAACTGTGCAAGCTCCTTTGTCACCGAAGAAGCACGGACACTGTAGTGCTCGTAGGGGATCTGAACGCTCAAGTTGGAAATCTTTCCTCTGCTGAACTACATCTGGGCGTCCAATATTGTGTTGGCTCCCGTAATGATAACGGTGAGCGGTTACCCCATTTGTATGAAGATGGTCGCCTATTTTTCGCGAGCATTAATTTCCGACACAACGCTTGCGGTGGAGTAACATGACGCCCACCAGCCATGGACGCAAATCGATTACATTGTGATCAGTTAATGATGCACAAGCTGCGTCCAAAACTCACGCTGAATTTGAAGCACCTGTGTGGACTTTGACTCCACACTTGTATGTGCTGATTTGTGTGTGCGTTTCGGTCGCCCTCGACGACCCTGTGAGCGTATAGACACCAGCAAACATGCGAAGCCAGATGTTCTGAATGCGTATCCAGGTACGCTGACATTCGAGTTGAGTAAGCGCTCACGGAATACAGTTGAAGGTAACTAATCACATGTTTACCAGACCTTACTAGCAGCAGGCAAATCTTCATGTGGTAAATCTCCTAGTTAACCTGAACATTAGGTCTCTATGCACTTTCTGGAACTTATCGGTGCTCGCCAACGCATTTCGGCTGGAAACGAACGGAACGAGATTCGCAAAGATCTAAAGGAAAAACTCTTGCAAATTCTGGCAATCTTACCGTGCATGCAGAGTAGAAGTGGCCGCTGCCCTCGGTAACCATCGGTAATTATTCCGGGCAGCAGGACACTTGGCGGGGTGGGCAGCCAATCCACAGCTTGTCAAAATGATTGGAGCTTTGGGCTGAGCACTTTGAAATGCAATTTAATCGCTCGTGATTGTTAGATTTCTCACCAGAGGATGACCGCCCTGCTCTCTGAGCTGTCCCTTTGGATCCTCCCTCTCGTTCAGAAGTCGAACGTGTATCGGACTCCTAATGATCTTCCTCCAGCGTTCCTCGAATTCGGGGGCCCTTTTCTTGTCGCTGATTTACACCAGTTACTAGTGAATCTTTGGGAGTAGACTGTTCCAACCGACTGAAGCCGCTTCGTTATTCTCCCAATCTTCAAATGAGGCTCGCGTTTGGGATGCGGTAACCATGGAGGAATCTGTTTGGTCTCCATCGCCTTCAAATGGTTTGCGTCTGTTATCCTTCACAGACTGACTAGAACCCCTGAAAGTCAGATTCCTGTGGAAGAATCCAGTTTTCGTCGAGATCGAGACTACATCGATCACATCTTCACACTACGTCAATTGTTGGTGTACCGTCACTTATAGTGACGGCCCATCCTTATCGTGTTCCTCGACATCAAAGGTGCCTTCGATTCGGTTAATCATTATGTGCTTTGGGATTATTTGCCAAAGAAAGGTTTGTACGGTAAATATGTAAAAAGTATCCTAGTACTTTGCGCGCGTCGAACGGGCAGAGTGAGGGCTTACGGCAAAATGTCGCCGCTCTTCAATGTTTTCAGCGGTGTAAGATAAGGATGTCCGCTGTCACCTTCAACTTCGCTATTTACGACGTCATGGAGATCGCATTCAGTGAACACGACTTAGATAATGTGAAGCTTCTCATCTGTGATAGCTTCCAAACGTTCCATGCTGCACTGGCTGTCAGCCATTTAGGACTTTGCTTTGTACCCTCGAAATGCAAAGCATCCCTCCAACGTTGGCAGCGACCGCCTCCTGCGCTGATCCTTGGTGGAGATCAACCAGAAGCCGTTCAGAAATGTAGCTATCCAAGCAGTTACATCAGCGCCTGTGACATCGAAGGCGAGGTCACAAATCGTATAGCCAAAGCCCGAGGCGACATCACTGTCCGATACGTCCGACGTTATTGTACAGTTGCAAAACCTGGCCTAATAGATCGACGGACGTAAAGAGCCTAATTGGGTTCGATCACCGGCGCCTTCTGGTGGGAAGACCGTGTGTGTAATGAGCGTTTCCAGCGCCACATATTTGGTGCAGGAAGAGGGATTGAACCGCTCAGCACTATTATTTCACGCACAAGGCTCCGATGGCTGGCTCACAGGTTGCAAATGCCAACCCACCGACTCGCGAATTGCGTTGTTTGCGTGCCGTTGATGTGGATAGAAGAAGAGGAGTGGAGGACAGGCGATGATTTCGTCAAGAAGAATGAAGGCCCTTTGAACTACACGTCTGCTGGTGTCCCTCGACCGACGGGCTGGGGCCCGAAGGACGATGAACACGTTTGGTTGAACCCACTAATTGACATGGCAAAGAGGCGACCTCAACGGCGTTTGTGTTGTGAGTTTTTTCGCTAGTTAGTAGTAGGAGAATTTATTGGATTTTTGTGAGGACTGGTCGCAGGCAAACAGCCACCACTGAACGGCCGTTTCGTCCTATTGAGACTCGTCAATAGCGCGCCCGCCTGCCGGATCTTGCCGTATTCGAACTCACTACCTTACTTTTACAGGCCCGCGACCTAAGCCACAGCCACGGGCGACAGTAGCGGACCAACATTTACTGAGATCAAACTGCGACATGGTGCGACTCATCCTCCACTGCCCAGCATGTTATGAATCTGCATATGGCAGGGATGGCGCGCAGAGCAGCTACCTCCTATACAAGCTGCCACCAGTTGAAGGGGCACGTGAGCTGCATAAGCGATTATTGATTATTAGTGAGGAGTAGGTGGATTTATGGAGGCCTTCGTGAAGAGTTCCCTTCCCTTCCTCTTCCCGCTCAACCTTCCGTTCCGACCACAATCTCATTTTCTACGCCTAATATAACCTTTTACGGTGCAATACCTAGCTGCTAGCTTTCCGGAACCATATCCATCCGTAATTGATGTTTCAGCCAGCATGCATCTGTTATACATTTTTCTGATGTATTGCGGCACTATAACAGGTGTTTCCTACCTCCTACTAATGCCTATATTGATGATGCTGATGATGAATGATCATCAATAACAACATCGGCGCTTCATTATCACAATGGATGGGTGCTCCTGGGATACTTAGTTCTACTAACTAATGGGAAGGCGACGCGATCTAGTGTGGAATTTCATTACCCCAAACAAAGTGGTCAAGATACCTCGTCTTCCCAACACCACACGGTCATTAGCAACTGCATATCGTGCAGAGCTGAAGGGGCATTAGCGAGGCTGCTTCCCTGCGGCTTTCACTGCCACGCGGCATAATCAATCTATCCTAACGGCAGAATTAGGTCCATATCCACCTTAAACATGCAATTTTATTGAGAAGTAAGCACTCGATGGTGCTGGTTTTGAGTCGTCTCTGGTGAGTATTCGGATTAAGCGCATATTGAGTGGCTTTGATTCCGGCAGGAGGGTGTGGGTGAACTGGCCTCAGTCGGTTTATTCGCCAGTTTCTCCATTTTTCGCTACTACCTAAGCGATGCCCTTCCTCAAATCTCACTGTGCCCAACATATGTCAAACTGGGCACCTCTTGGTGGTAGACGAGTTGGAATATTTAGCTCCTAATCAGGCTGGCGAGACTTATTCTGTCTTATTTGTTAACGCAGATTCATTTCAGTCTAGCACTCGGGTGACAAGTATTTTGTACCAACCGATTCTATCAATGCTTAATGCCGACTCACAAATCTGTCTTGTAATCTTAGGGTCGCGAGTTCGAGCCTGTGTAGGGGACCGGGCGACCGTCGCAGTATCCTTAGCCCACGCATGACTGGTGATGGTTGCGCAGCTGCGGGGCGTCGGTATTGTGTACCAGCATACTGCTGATGCCTTTAATGCTTAATAGGTAACGGCATTCATGGACCTGATAATACTTGAGATCTTCAGACCACTGAGGCCAACACTCGCTCTGGTAAAAACAAGTTCGCTGCTAACCGGCGCTTGGATTTTGTGCCCGGACGAGTATTGATTGTTCGGGTCTAGCACGTAGTCATTTCGCTCATCAATGTCGATCATCATCGCATCTGTCACGCACGGGTTATGCCACCCTGTTGACTAACCACCGTGTCGAGTGACCATGCTTCTGAAGAATCCCCGGGAAGACAGAGTGACTGCCCAATGTCCTTCCGAGTTTTTTCCACCACTTGTACATGGGTCCGACTGAGTCCTTTCACTCCATATACTAGGGAACTTTACTCTGTTTTTGGAGTATCTGACATGTATATCGCGTTCAGTTGAATCTATCGTTGCTACTGAACGCACTTTCTAGCCATATGAGCAGGTACTTCCGTACTTCTTGCATTACCACACCACTGTTCCCTTCAAACACACTACTCATCTGTATCTGGTCTCTTATTCTCCATCACTAGGCAAGCTACAACGTCTGGATTTATTACTGCGCGAACTGAAGGCTGGTGCTCATCGGGCTCTCATTTTTACTCAAATGACACGCATGTTGGACATATTGGAGCAGTTCTTGGCTTATCATGGACATCGATATCTTCGCCTAGACGGAGCGACTAAGGTGGAGCAGCGACAGGTCCTCATGGAACGATTCAACCAAGACAATCAAATCTTCGTGTTTATTTTGTCCACTCGGTCCGGAGGATTGGGAGTCAACCTCACCGGTGCAGACACCGTCATTTTCTACGATTCCGATTGGAATCCGACCATGGATGCCCAGGCACAAGATCGGTGGGTTTGATAATTTTTACTGAACTTTACCCCTAAAGTATACCACGTGCATTCCTTTCCATGCTACTTACAGTGTGAAGTAATTGGAATTCCGTTCTTGGTGTCCAACTGAAGCCCCACCTTCCACTCGCTGCTAGAAGATAAACTTGCTTCCATCTGTTATCAGGATTCCTGTATTTGTTGAGGTTTTCGGTACCTTTGCAAGTTCCAGATAAGCACCGTAAATCCGTCTTTCTCACTTTACCAGTGAAATGGATCCCACGCCTTGGTCGAAACTCTTCAGGTCCTAAAAAGACTCCATTCTACTTTATGATTGTGAACTCTCACTTATTCCTAAACATTTTCGGTCGCTCACCAAAGGCTAACGTCGCTTACCTTGTCATCCAAGGTTCACCGGTTCGAACCCGCTTAGTTGTGCAAAACTTGTGGTATACCCAGTCCACTCGCCACCGGCGGTGATCGCGTTGCATCCAAGTGTCGGTACAATTTGCTCTTATGTGTCGTCTCTTCACCGTCACAAGCACCACTGCCACCATCAGCAGCAAAGGCAACAACAATAGCGGCTGCTAATTTTACTGAATTTGTCTCCCACTGATCTCAAACGGCCAATTAGCACTTATACCTCCGTAAGGATCGTTGATGATGAGCACTGTCCTGTTTCCTCGCTTCTTTATGCACTACCACACACGTACTAAGCTGTTGTAGAAGCGCAGCTTACACCACAAGCGCACTTTGTTAACCATTTTATCAGTGAGTAATGTTAGAGTGCGAAGAGTATGGATATGTTGCACAAGGTTGGATTGGGGACAGTCTGCTGAGTCCTGTAATTTTTGTTTTGCCCTATCTGTAATGGGGCATTTGACCGACTTACGAGACAGTCAGTCTCATTTTACTGATCCCTATGTATGAAACACGTTATCTCGATGTATTTGTAATCAGTGCTAATCCCATAGACAGGTTTTCAAACATCTGTGAAAGCCTTTTTAAGAAAAGTCAGTTCTCCCTAGATTTATTCTGTATTCATGCTTCAGTTGGTCGATCTACTTTGATAGTTCGCACTGACTCCAAATATTTCTTGGGGTCCGATCAGTTCTGATATGACCGAATATACTTTTTCAGCCTACTCAGTGAATAACGACAGGACAACTCAATACATCTTCCGTTTGCCACCTTATCGTTAACTTTGTCCTACCTGTAAAATCCACGCATTCTAGTGACTTTGTTTCGGCTGCATATACATAAACAGAACCACTGAATTCGGCCACTTTCTACCTCATTTTGCTCTTCGTAAGTACATGTCTCCTAGGATTAGTAGAAATTTAACACGCATACACACACATTCTCCCAGTTGACGATGAACGAGTGGGGGTAGGTTATAACTCTTCATCAATTTCATCTGCAAGCGGTTGTCATTTTTCTATGCAAGTCAACTGTACTTGAAAGACTCGGCTCATTAGCTTGTTTTGTTTCTTCCTGTTTTATCGTTTCGTTTAGTCCACCCACATGCACTCACATGTGTAATTCCTCTGAGTGCTTTCCTGTTCGTGACGCAGCTCTAGGTTAGCGGGGATACTGTGGGATTTGCTGTATTTTATAAAACCTGTAGCTCTGGTTACCTGCTGGGATGTTGATTGCTTCTTCGAGCCGAACAATTTTGTTCCATATGTTTCACCACTAATCGCTGCGGCAGTTTTTTTTCGCAGTGACAAATATCTTGGCACAAAATACTGAGCCTCGAGCGAATGCAGAAACGGAGGCCGTCAACTACTGTGTTACTTTTATCTATATATTATTTTCTTCCCATGTTGTATTTCGTTTCCCATTTTTTACCACGGTTCTGTTGGTACATTATCTGTGATCAGATTGTGAATATATATATATATATATATATATATATATATAGTCGATTCCGGTTAATAGGACCACCGGTTAATAGGACCAGCCGCTTATTCGGGCCAAATTCTGAAGAACCGAAACGAATCCTATTACGCTAGCCTAATTTTAGCCGCTTATTAGGACCGGAATTCCGCTTAATCGGACCAGACGATAGAAGGTGGCAGGTGACAGAGGTGTTAAAATCAAGTTCTGTGCCTGGATGTCTGGACTAAACCCACAGTTCATATGTCGGGAAATAGCGCTGGAGCTGAGGAATGGAACTCAACAAAACTACCACAGCTTCTTGAAAAATTTCCAGCAGATGACATCTATAATGCTGATGAAACCGGGTTGTACTATAGGGCTACACCGGACGGCTCCTTAAGTTACAAACATGTTACTTTCTCTGGCTGCAAAAAAGCAATGGATCGCGTAACTGTCTTGTGCTGCTCAAACACGTCCGGAACAGACAAGAGGAAGTTGCTGGTTATAGGAAAATGTGTCAGTTGTGTATCGTGCGAACAGAAATGCATGGATGAGCATTACACTTGTTAAAGAATGGGTAAAGTATTGGGACACAGAGCTACAACGCCAGTCGAGAAAAGTGTTATTACTTCTCGACAATTGTGCAGCACATTCAAATTTGGATTACTTGAAGAATATCCAGATGGAATTTCTGCCTCCCAAGACCACATTTTTGATACAGGCAATGGACATGGGCATCATAAAAAATTTGAAGACCTTTTATCGTTCAAGTTTGGTGAATTAAATCCTTGATTCAATTGAGGAAGGCTTGCTGACCTCATCCTCGACGGCCGGAGAAATCAGTGCAAAGGTCAACATTATGCAAGCCGTTACATTCGTGGCCGAAAGTTGGCGAAAAATGAGCAGTGCGACAATGCGGAACTGTTTTTTCACTGTGGCTTTAAGCATATTGTCTCGGATATGGATGTGGATATGGTGATTGTAAATGAAATGACGGCGAGAGTGTGGAGCTGAAACAAGCTGAAAACTACGAAGAACTTTTGTCAATCGACAATGAACTTCAACTCTATGATGGAAATGAAGAATGCGATGCTGCCATTGTTGCTCGAATAGCAGCGAAACACACGACAGCAACAGAAGACCATGGAAGTGATGAAGAGAACCCTAACGTGTTGATGCCAGTCACAAAACAGGATGCAAGGAAATGCATTGAAACATTGCACCGCTATTTCATGCGGGAAGGAAATGAAGGTAGTCCTATTACTGCGTTACATGTTTGTGGTGATTTTGTGCGAATGCAGTCTGTTAAAAGAATGCGTCAAACCACACTGGATACGGTCTTCAAACGCTGAATGGAATTCGGTAATCCCTTTGTATAAGACTGTACTTCGCATGCTGAATATCTTGTAGGTGGTTACGAAGAATTTGTTTGTAAATTTCTTTTTCAGTGAACAAAGTTCGTTATCAAAGCAGTTCTTTTTTGTGTGCTTGCTATAAATATATGCCGCCAATACCTGTCATAATAGTAGTTTCCTATGTTACGTAAAGCACGTCCCATCTTGTTACATCGGGTAACTTCGGTTAATCGGACCAGCCGCTTAATAGGACCAAAATGGTCTGGTCCCGATGTGGTCCGATTAACCGGAATCCACTGTATATATAAGTCTACGAATAGACATAAAACCATCAAAAGCCATGGAAATCAAGGGTACAGCTTCGTGGAAGGAAAAGCGAACACACGTCTGTGAAATCCATGTTTTTTATTGGGCACAGTACTACCTGGTTTTCCAAACCGAGCTAGGGTGTTTTCTTAGTGGACACTATCCCTGGTATTTGGTCGAATAGCTTACTCGCAAGGCGGTGGAGCGTACCTGTTGGGAGCCGGTGACTGACTGCTCAGTTCATACGCCTTTTGTTTAGTCAGTTGCCAAACGGGAGCCCAATTCTCCCCACATTTTGTCCAGCTGAGTAAAATAACCATGGTCACAGGTTACGTATCGCGACATATTGATGACTAAGTTGGTAGTCGCGCAACGCCTGTCATATCTCTATGTCGTGACACATGCTCGTATATCAAATGGCCAAACTGGACGCTGAGCGTGCTGTAAAGCAGTACAGACCGTCCATTATCAGTGGCCATCTCTTTGCCCCGTGTCCGAGTCGCTTGTGTTTGGACACCTTGGTATAGCGATATGTGCACCTGGCAGTGAAGCATTAATAAAAAGTACCGATGAACCACTGATATTTACTGTTATACGGCCGCACTCTTGTCGTCCCATCTATCCTCTCACGGGCTAACTCATCCGTTTATTTTTCTCTTTCCATTCGTATCCTTTTGAGCTTACCTGATTGATGGGCTTAATGTGGCGAACTCCTCCTTCAAATCGGTTGACTCACTTTCACCTGTGGAAGTGACTGTTCTCCTTCTCTATCTGCACCTTGTTACATTTTGATAGACTTTTGTGACTGACCGGTTGTTCGTGTTGCAGATGCCATCGTATCGGGCAGACTCGAGATGTGCACATCTACCGATTGATCAGCGAGCGCACCGTAGAAGAGAACATCCTTCGTAAAGCAAACCAGAAACGATTTCTTTCTGATGTTGCCATCGAAGGTGGCCGCTTTACAACTGCTTTCTTCAAACAGAACACCATATCCGAATTGTTCGCGGAGCCTACAGGACTCCAGGTTAGTACACTTTATCAGTTTTACTGTCACACATATTTACTCATGTTTGTCATCGTAAATTACCATCATCGTTTATCTGCTGCAGTTTTATCACCCTGACTGTGTACCGCACCTGTTTGCGAGGACATCGCGAATGTTTCTGGTCTTATGCATCTCGGGTTCTCTCCAAAGCTTTGTGTATTTGTACATACCTTTGACTAAGGTTGTTGAACATTTGGGCTCTTATCACGCTTGTATCAATCGCTTGTGTCCATTGCAGTAACATGCACCTTAAGCTCTTTTTTCGATCCCCAGTCCTTTGATTCTTATTCACGGCGACTGAGAGGTAACGATTCAACCAGAAACGATCCTTTTCTCTTGTATGCTGCAGGATCTTGTTCAAGAAAAGCAGAAGGGGGATGATCAACCCATTAGCACTGACCCCATCTCTTCCATTGGCTTACAAGGCAGTGGAACGCCTAGTTTCACCACAGAGGATGAGCTATCCGTAACACCTTCTCCATCCACTGTTCCGTCGGAGGAAACACAGTTTGCTGCGTTATTGGAAGCTTGCGAAGAGGATGAAACGGACAGGATTGCTATCAAGCAAGCCATGGCAGAAGCCAAGGTAACTTGTATTCCCGACTGTATTTCCCCTCCCTTCTTTCCTGTCCCTCTGCTCATCGTCCTGTACCTTTCACTTACAGGCCGACTTAGCAGAGTTTGATGAAACTATCCCTCTCGATGATGCCAGCCGCTCAGGTGCCGATGGCGCTCTCTTTGGTCCCGAAGTAAACAGTAGTGGATCGGATATCATCGCTCGGTTCGCATTGAGCAAGAGACAACATCGAGGCACTTCTTCAGTTTCAGCTCCCACAGACGGCCAACCGAATGAGTCAGTCCACACTGTAGATGCCGCACTTACTGACCTCTCACCGGCGGACGAGACTACGGAGTGTCCAGTTGAGCGGGAACTGATGGAATTTGAAGGGACCCTTCTTCCTATTGAACGATTTGCTGTTCACCAATTGGAAGAGCAACGAGAGGCAATGTTGAATGAGGAGCTCGTGTACGCCGATGTGAGTTACCTCACCGATGTATTTCCTGTGCTTAACTTCATGTTGTGTATATCACATTTCTTTGTTTCAGTTGGTCTAAGTCGAATTCACCTCTGTTTGAAGTGAATAACCTGTGTTCTTTTTCAGATCCGCCCTTTTTGTCTCCTTTCCAACCGATTCCTTTTGTTTACAATTTCACTTCTTTTGACAATGCTTCGTGGCTTGCTGTTGATTACTCCCACTATTAGGGCACCAAACAACCGTTGATTCTATGGTTAATCTTACCGATGGTAACCCATCGAAACCGCTCATTTGCTGTCTAGCAGAGGTCCACACACAAGTATTGGAGACTGGCACGCCACTTGCTCGTTCATTGCTGGAATCACGTGCTCCACTGGGGAGTATAAACACACTTGAGCCAGTGGGAGCAGAGCCATTTGCTCCTCGTGTTTCCTCACGTCATCCAGTTAGAAGCAATCGCCTCATGACACCCACACGAACAAATCTACGTTAGCGCAGCATGGCTATAACGTTCGCATAGATAATACATGTGTCGGAAGATAGGCATCGTTTTACTGCCAGCCTTCGGTACCCTCTCTCTGGCGCTCCAATCCAACAAGCAAATTAAAAGTCAAGACTAGGTTAACGGTGTATACTCTGCGTTAAATGACGAGTATAATCATGGGTGAAACATACATTCCAATAGAAGCATTGCGATCCTTAGTTCATCTGTGATTTAGCCTGCCTAGACGGTTGGTTTCAGCGCACCACCGTTGGTCATCCTATTGTGTCCAGACACAATGTCGACGTGCGCCGAATTATGTTGGCTAATCACGTTCTTCATGTACGCTGATCGCTCGTCCGATCACACGTCTGCTGATATCCGCCTGATTTCATCTGTTCATGTGAACTCTCTTAAGCTTGTCGGTGCTGTCGGTTCGGCGCCGCGTTGTAGCGTCGGTCGTTACTAGTCACTCTGTTTAGATGCCCAAAAGGCATGATGCGATTAAGAGTCATGCAATCCATTCACACGTTCATCGGTCCACCTTTAGGGGCTCTGGTTTCTCCGATTGCTCACTCGTGCTATGACACCACATGAAGTATTACCAAATCAATGCCTAACAAGCGACGCCTTGTAGGGAATTGTAGAATGGAGTATACAAGATGTCAGTCATTTTCTGACAGTAAGGTCGATTCACATTTGGTTTGCACTGTACGAGTGTATCCTCAGGGCTTTGTGCAACCGACCAGTGGTGTCACTTTGAATTTAGTATATGCTGTCGGTAACGCTACTGTCCGTTGCGTTTAGTAGTTAGATGCCGGGACGGGGGCTGACGTGGCATATGTTCTACTGTCACGCTTCTATAGGACAATGTACCCGAATGACTTTCGCGTGCTGTATTTTCTACTCATCAGTGGGCTATTGGATGTAGTTGGGTTCAATGCAAGCGTTGATAAAGTGTCCACTTCGATCGCTGGTTCCAAGTGATTGTTACACTTTGTTCGGGTTAGTATAACTACTTTGAACAGCTTTTTACCTTAAGGATCCCAAGCCTGCTTTTAGTCCCGGAGGCCGGGCCCGAGCCTGCGTAGGCACAGGGTGGCTCTTGCAGTATCCTTAGCCCACGTGCAGCTGGTGGGGTGGTTACGCGGCAGTGAAGTGTCGGTACTGCGTTCCGGCGCACTGCTGATGTCTTTATATATAACCCCCTTGTACACTGTGTACATATGTACACATGCATAAAAGTTTATTCTTATATTTTGTGTACAAATGCACACACCATCATTTGGATAGCTGACAAGTGACGATCGGCATCTTTCATTCACTATGTTAAGAACTCTAGTGCATCACTATCAACACAAGCAATAACTTTTTGGACGAAATTTCTTGCCTTTGTACTAAGGGGATATCGCTACGATAAGACCGGTGTTATTGTATTAACCAGAAACCTGGGCAGTTCATAGTGAAGAGACCGAACACTTGGCCGTGTTCTACCACTGGTACTTGCGGTGTATTGCTCACATCTGATGCAAACACTGGGTGAGTCATGTGCGTGTCGTCAGTTGTCTTTTTGACAAGAAGCCTTCTGATCTCCCAATCAAGCATTTCCTAAAGCTCAATCGCTTACGTTCGTGTTAGTTCATGTCTTCAGTATGCCTGTTGACCAGCTTATTCGGAATGCATTGTACTTCTTAACTATACCGTTGGGCGAAATCACAAGGTGGCCAGTCGATGACGTGGCTTAAAGGTATGACGAAATTGTCTGAGATTTGCTCAGACTGGTTCCCCTGGAAGGTTCTCACCAGTGGTTGAAGACTATCAGACATGGCGCAGTTTCGCAGTCAGTGGCGTTCCTGTATTCGGTTTCTTGCATGTGGCTGTGAGTTTTCATTCCATCCCACTTAGTTTAACACGCTTGCTTCCGTTTTATTTGTTCTTATTTGCGTTCAGCCTCTTTTGCCAGCGTTATTTCTTATTGTTATGATGATGCGAATCGTGGCAACATGGCCTACCGCATTTCGGTTTCGGCAATCATGGTTGTTCAGCTGTACCGAACTGAACTATCAAGTAACTGGTAGTCCTGTAACAACACGTTGCAGTTTGAAGGTGCGAGGCGCATACCAAATGATGGAACCACTCTAGACAGATATCCAGAGTAGACTGAGCCGCTTCCTGGTTATCAGACAGCAAGACAGTATCGTCTGCACAATCAAGAGCAACTGAGTTTCCGCCAGACAGTATGTCTGAATTGGTAACCCTGCAAAGCAACGTATTCAGCCCGTGGTAGTTGTTGTCCTTTTCAGTATCAGAACGACATTTTGGGGACATAAGCGGGAACCACAAACACAGCGTTTATTGATACTTCGTGAATCGACCTTAATTGTACTTGTTAAACGAGCTGCACACACACGGTTACTCACGTGGACCCAGACAGCTAGCGATTGTTCAGCCTTCGGTATTGAGAACGATGCATAAACCAGCTGGTCCAGTGGTTGCCGCATCAGTGTCTCCGGATGCGTGCAACCAATAACAAGAAGACAAGCCTGGCGCAGTTAATTCAACAACCCAGCGAGGGTCATTAATCCTAGTTTCGGACGCTCAAAATACGTCAGTACCCATGGTGTCCAATATGTATGCGGGTGTAGCTAGTTGAATACTAAATACTGAGAATAGAGAGCGAGAAGATAAAAATCTGTGTTGCTCCATCGTAGGCGGATCGGGCACATGCGCGGAATCACGTCGCTGATTACTGCGCGTTGGCAGCATATTGCAGGTGCACTACATCTTATCCGGGTGCGATACGCTCCCTGTACCTCTAGTCTACAAAATGGGCGTCAAGAAAGCTTTTAAATTCCGACACCGATTTCGTCTCTACTAGCGTCTCCGGTAAGTAGTTCCAATATTTCACCGCTCGATGCTCGAAGCATAGAAGGTGAGCGATGCGCTTTGAATCCGGTACTACTAGTTTCTACCGGTGTCCGCGTGTGCTGCTTGGTGCACGAACGTTCAGCAATGGCTTCAACCTATGGAAACGGCCCGGGTACAAAATCCGGTGCGTCATAATGAGATCAACTCGAAGCCGACGATATTACAGGGTATAAAGCCCTAGTCTCTTACATCGGTCTTCCTACGACATCCCGTAACCTGGGGATGAGCCGAGTAGCTACACGCTGGACCCCTTTCCAGTATCTGTACCCCACCTGTTGTGATCGAACAATAGATGGGTGAGCCGTACTCAAGCACCGGTCTTATTATGGAAGAGAACAGACGGGTGACAATCTCTTCAGACCAAGTGCAGTAGTTGCGTGTAAGTGTCTAAAGCAGGCGTATTCCGTTTGTGTACAGTCTGTTCTTGGTGTCGACGGACTTCAGATCACAGTGTGAGAGTACGCCTAGATCCTTTACGGAACTGGTGGGATGCAGCGAGTGGCCAGCCAGGGAGTACGTACGCCCATTACCACCCCACCCCAGGCTCATAAACGAGGTTTTGGCCGGGTCGAACGGTATGTCAACTTCTGCGAACCACCGGCATAGGCGGTCGAGGTTCTGCTGAAGGACGTCGCAGTCGGGAGAATCAATCAGGTCGTCCGTAAATACTTCGCAGGGCGACCAAAAAAGCTGAGATACTTTGTTGATGTGGATCGGGAATAAAATTGGCCCCAGTACTGTGCCTTGGGGTACGCCGCTAGTGGACAGGCATCATTCCGTTAGGTGGTAATCCACCTGAACCCGCCATCTCTCAATAAGGAAGTCACTGATCCACTGGTGCAGTGCGCCACCAACACCACACATCCTCAGCTTGTGGAGCAGAACCTCATGGTTCACTTACTCGGAAGCTTTACTGAAATCAATGTGGATAACATCCACTGACTTCCTCTGATTCAACACTTGCAACAATTTCTGCCGTGTCAACGGCAAGTTGGTGATGCACGAGCGGTCCTTCATGAAGTCTTGCTGTGCCTGCGTTAGGAGATTTTTCGACTCCAGCAGCTGAAGGAGACCTTTTTTCGCAATCCTCTCGATCGTTTTCGCTAGAACAGTGGTGAGATATTCGGTCGGTAATTGTCCACATTGCGTGGGTCGCCGACTTTTGGAACCAGCTTCACTACCGAGTCGCTCGGCAGTACACCTGACAGTGATTTGTTTAACAGATCCGTCACGGCAGACGAACTGATGGCCGATAAGGACTTCAAAATTAGCGGGTGAAATCCATCGGGTCCGGTAGGTTTCGTGCCTTCAAGACTGGCGAGTAGACTGCGAACATCTACACCGCAATCAAGACCCTCGAGTTCAGTAGGGGCTGCACACGTCGAGCTCAGCATAGGCGCATGCCCACTTGTAAATACGGAAGCGAAGTGTTCCGCCAATGCGGACGCATGTTCAATGCTGGAGGTCAGAGGCTATCCGTCAGTGCCCTCCAACACAGCTACGTCACTTGTGACCCACAGGCGCGATTTTACGTAAACAAAAATCTTCTTGAGGGCAGTCTTCGCTGAGGTTGCAGGCTCCTCTTCGAACT